CCAACGGAGGGTCGACGGCCGTCCTGTAAATAATTGGAGTAACAAGTGCTAACGACTCCCGAATGTTTGTATGAGAGACTGAGAGCGAGATAGAGAGAGAGAGCAAATCGAAGTTCGCTAACCGCGGAAATCGGCGAATGAGCGAGTGTGAGGTTAGCGGTGCAATATAATAAGCAAACACGATAGGACGAGGCTTTTTTGATCAGCAGAGACTAGGAGAGTAAAACAAATCATATTTTTAAAACGCTCCCAAGAAAACATTAATCCTCGTCACACCCTGAATTCTATATCCCACAATATTGTTGTTTTAATGGAGTAAAAATTTGATGAGAATAGGTTTTTTGTTACTTTTAAGTTTATAAATTTTAGTAAAATTATATATAATTATAAAGTAAACATAATAATTTTTTAAGATTTTATTAATGGCTTCCAAACTTTTAAACAGTAGAGCAAATGTAAATTTGTGTATCTGACAGATTTTACTTATTGTTAATACAGCCAATAAAAAGTTTCTATCGTGTTAAATTTTATTTTCTGATTCGTGGATTGTCATGCCTCTTTGTTTGTGCAATGTGATCCTTTTGTCGTCCAAGTACATATTCATTATATCCAAGGTATCCATCATTATCTAAATCGTCTTCCTTGAATACTTTGTCTATCAGTTCTTGATAAGGGGAAATAATAAAAATCATTATAATTATTGGATATATACATAAAGTTTATAAATATTTACTCAATACCTTGACTATGGTGGTTATACAAATACCTATTTCTGAACAAAGAAATAACACTGATGTGCCATCATTGTTTTCATGCATATGTTCGAAATTCTCAAAAATTTCTGAACAATTTATAACCATTATTTAGCAGTACTGTAATACATATTTACCTACTCGCAAACTAGAACTGTTTTGTTAATTTAGGTATTTATTAACATGTTGAACGGCGCACGATTTCATAGAGCAAAATACACAAAATGGTAAAGATATAATATTATACCATTTGATTGAATTGCGTTATTATTATTGCGTGCTCATCTTGCTCTATGTCGCAGCATTAGATAGCATTGTTTGTAATATACAAATGTTTTCAAATAACCGCCGTTTAACTGAATGAAACTATAGTATTTCAATTTGGTTGGAGGTCATCGGTGACCTCCATGGCATTTAACGTGTGAACGATACTCTTCACACAGAAGCTGTAAACTGAAGACACGAGTAAACTTCTAATCCGCTATTTTAATATGTTTTTGCATTTTAATCTGTGTAGACATTAGTGTGTAGACCCACATCATTAGAAAAATAAATTAGGTCTGGTAAACAGGTGCAATGTAAATCATAAAGAGATTTAAAATATTTTGGAATTAATGCGAAAAGGTATAGCCGACTAAGTATCACAAAGTGCTACCAAACCAAATTGACCTAGCTGCATACTATTCGGCAAGTCTTCCAAAGTTTTTGAGATGTTTGCTAAAAACTCCTATGTAGTAGTACTGCAATGAATTGTGCGTCTGTGATAATAGGACAATGATAAATTTTGTATTCTCGTAAAGCTCATTCAGTTTTAAATCCAAAAAAAATAACTTACAGAAATCTTTTAGTTTTTAGAAGGAATTATCACAATAATTTCCATTTCAGAAGATGTACTGATAAACACAAATGTGAACAACGAAGTTCTAGTTTGCAAATATGTATAATAATTGCTACATGGTATATATCATTTTATTTCAACATAGTCTGTCGGTCTGGTGAGTGAGTTTAGTTTACAGATTTGTCACTACTGTTTATCATTCATTCCGTTCTCATTACATTCATTCAATTCTGCACACATTCTATTTTCCTTACTCTCCCTATCTATCTTTCTCAGTCAATCTATTGTCCATTTGTTCCCTTTATCATTTAAAATGAATTCTAATGTCACCTTTGGTTCTATTTTATCACACGCGTTTACTAAGTGTTCTAATGTCCCTATATATCTACCACACATTGTACATTTTCTTTCTTGTTCTTCCAACCAGTACTTCTTTCTGTTATCAAAGTTCCCACATCTCGTTCTCGTTAGTCATTTTTGACTGTCCTTAATTCCATCTTTTTCTAGATATTTTGTTGTTCCTACTCCTAATGAATAGCGATATATCCTATTGCATTTTGATTTCTCTATTTTCGATGCCTGTTCCTGCCTTTGTACTTCCCTGTCTTTTTCCCTGGTTATATTTATTATGTTTAGTCTATTGTCCCTACAAACCGATAACACTGTGGAACACGATTTTTGTTTTGTAATTCCTACTAGGTAGTCCTTATAGAGTTCTTTACCCTAAATACGAATTCGAAAACCAAATTGCTGGGTTACGTCCAGTTTTCGAAAAAAAATGGGTTTTTGTAAAAACGGTCGAATTTTTCAGAGAGAACGTGTTAGTGAAAACTAAAAACGGTAGGCAGTTAAAATTTGTCGTAAAAAATAGAGCAGAGTTACCCGAATATGTAGTTATACAAATTTTGAATATTGCATATCATTAAATGCTTGTAAATGATGATCAAAGTTTAAACAAGGGTAGATGCGTGTAATTTGTACGCACTTCTGTTACATTTCTATGAAAAGTGGGTTGGCTAGTACGAATTTGCTATGCACCATTGGATTCTGCAGACATTTCTGACGAG